TTATTTTTATGAACAAGTGTAAATTTCAATTATTTTATGCATATTTGTTTTTGATTATGGGCGAATTTAAATAAAATTTTTTTTTTTTTTATAAATTAAAAGTCTTACCATGTCAAATAAACAAGCCGACTACTGCATAGGATGTCATTCCAATCGATCTAGTGAGGATTTCTTGAATGAAAATGGAACTAAATTAAAAAAGTGTTTGCAATGCTGAACCCAAATTAGATTGGCACATTCGAAGAATAATGAAGAACCTGACATAATAATTAACTATTTGGACATTACCAAAACTGTGTATAATTTTCTAGTCTCATTAAATAATACTAATGAATTTTATGAGTGCGAAAATGAAGGATTAGATATAATATTCTATGTTGAATTGTCAAGTTTGCATAATAATATTTTAGAGAATAACGAATCACAAAAAGAAAATATCGAATTTGAAATTGGTCGCCATATTGTTTCTCTCATTTCTGATGGGGACGGTTATTCATGGGTTTATAGAGACAAAAACCAAAAAAAAAGATCTTTTCTTTTAATTTATTTTTGCAATTGTCGAATTGAGCTTGGGAAACGGCAAGCAAAACATCCAGAATTAAACAAACAGCGAGATACTTTTGCTTTTTTAGAACGTTATAACTGTAAGGGATTAATAAATATAGAAATTTTATCAGACTTAAACTTAGTTAAAGTCAAATATTCTCATAAAATGTTGCATACACGACCAAGACATGTTTCAACAACCTCTGAAATCAAAAAATTTATTCAAGATAATGTTGATATTAGTGTTCCTGAAATTTGGCATCAAGTTCATGATAATCATATTAATGGATACGAAAACTTTAGTATTCAGCAAGCCTACTACTAGTGGTCTATAGAATCTCGCAAAGTATATCTTCGAGATCCTAACTCTATAATATTGGCTAAATATTTATTAGAAGAATTTAACCAAAGAATTATTGTAGATAATATTAATTCTTCTATGCCTATTCTTGGATTTTTAATATCATTATTTAGCTGACTAATTTATAATAAACTTGATGCAATTGCAATCGATGCAACTTATGGTACCAATAATCAAGCATGTGAATTGTATTCGCTTTTGGGTATAATAGATGGTGCTGGATTTCCTCTCAGTTATCTTTTGATTTCAGCAGGAAAAAATCGAAATATAATGAATATTCTTTTTCAGTGGATGCAAGCTTTAAAAGAATGTGGTTTACAAAATTTTTCTTTTATACTAACTGACAAAGATTATAGTGAAATTAATGCAGCACAGGCCGTTTGGCCTGAAGCTCATTTACAGTTGTGTATTTGGCATGTGCAACGAGCAGTGAAACAACAATTAGCTTCCAGTAAAACAAAAATATATTATAGTTACAATCCAAAAATTGCACATCAAGAATGCTCTGTGATAGATCCAAATTGGGGAGTTATAGATAATTCTAATTCACGAGTATTATGTCCTTTAAATTTACGTAAGCCTGTAATTGAACTTGTTAAAGATCATTCAAGACGTCATATGTTACTACCAAAACCCGATGGCACTTTTATTACAAATGCAGATGAAATCTGGAGAGAATGTGTTAGTGAGATGATGCAATATTGTAAAAATAATAATCTGCTTCGACTATGGACTTACTTTTGGAAGGAATGGTACTCTAAAGAAAAATGGAATTTATGGGCTTGAGCAGCCGATGAAAAAATTAGTCATATTAAAACGACTATGACAGTCGAATCGCACTGGCGGCAAATTAAGCGTGATTACTTATACAAGTTTTATAAACCACAGGTTGATCATCTGTGTTATATTCTTATAAAGAAGGTTATCGATCGACAATTGTTTCGAATTCGAATGCTTGAACAGGATCGTGAGTTGGTATCATGGCGTAAAGAGTTTAAACAAGAATGGAAAGAGCATGAGACAAAAATAATACAAACCAACAACATTAACAAGTATTTTACAGATCCAGTCAAATGGATATGTGCATGCCCTGCATATATTCAAAGCAGGTTTTTTTTATGCAAACATTTAGTCAATTCTGTAGAGAAAGCCAATTCAATATTTTTTAAAAAAGTAATGAAAAAAAATTAATTTTTATTATTAATGTTAATATACCTATTTAACAATATTTTTATGCAGGTGCAAAGAAATAGAACTTATCCACTGATTTCATCTTATGAGGGTGAACTAGTAAATGTGTTTCGTCAAGAAAATTCTTCAAATCGTGAACCTTCAAATCACGAACCTTCAAGTATTCAAATAATTCAAAAATCAATTAATGAAACTGAATATAATGAAAATAATAAAGAACAACATGATTATGAAGTCGAAATTGCTTATTTACATGAAATATTAGACAAGGTATATATTTGTATTTAATTCTCTATAAATGCATAGAATTCTAATTATTTTTTAAGACTAAGGAACTTTTAGAAGAATCACGCAACAAGCCCAAAGGGCATTTATGGTTAAAAAATATTCGATCAAATTTCAGATCATTAGAAAACATGAATAATGACATTGCGGCATTAAATAATCGTATAACAATGCCCAGAACATGGAAGGATTTTAATAAAAACACAATGTACTGGGTATAATATATTTTATATAGTGTATAGTTGAAAATTGCAATTACATTCTATTTTTTCAAAATTCTAAATTTTACTAAGCGAAAAATAAATGACTATTTTAGCATGTACACTTTATTTTGCAAGAAAAATTATTTATTTAAATTCATCTATAAGAATGGCTAAAAGAAAAACATAAATTTTTTAAAAAATATGTTTCATTTTTTAAAAATTAAAACCTCATTTGTTATTTGATAGTGATAATAAAGAAATTTGTAAATACAGAAATACGCGAAAAATATTTTCTGGTTAGCGTAAAGTAATCGAAGTTGCCCATACTAAAATC